TCCTTTTTTTTTTTTTTTTTTTTTTAATATCCTTAACAGATGAGGCCCCCTACAATTTGAGGCCCAAGGCAGTGGCCTCAGTTGCCTTGGGCCAGGGCCGGGTCTGACTGGATGTGATCCTATTTATGAAACAATATCAAAGTTGAAAGTTTATTGAAATGATATGTAGTTTATATGCTGCTAAGTAACAAAATTTACAATAGTTACTGGAACAAAATAAGGCAAATCATATACATGATAATATTTCAAAAAATAAATTTATTAGCCAAAATATAATCAAAACAAATAGAACAATAATGATCAAAACGATCAGAATTCTTGACTTGATAGGGAATTCGTTATCCTACATATATTTTGGCAATGCAATTTTCTTGTACTACAAAAAATTATGCTTCAAATCCAGCATTTTTCTTTTCCAAAAACCATCTTCCGTCGTGACAAACACGGGCAGACCCAGGAGCCCTGAGGTCATGTGACCCCCCAACTTTGAATTATTTTATTATTTATTTATTTTGGATAAAGTCCTATTTGATATCAATTAAAATCTAAATCTAAATTTTAATTTTAATCAAAATTAATAATTAATTTTAATAACATATTTTATGGAATCTTTAAGTTTTTTAAATTTTATAAAAATTTACAAAAAAAATCTGATTTTAATTTCGACCAAACAAGAAAAAATCACAATAAATTTGAATTTTTTTCTCTTTTCTCTTACTTTATCTTACCTTTTCACTCACTTCTTTTATCAAAACTTTAACCCTTCTAATTTTTTAAAATTTTTCTTTATTTTCTCTATAAATTATCACATCTACTTCGAATTTTAACTTTTCAATCGAATTTTCAATTAATTAGAACCTAAATATGCATTTCTCCCATCCTTTTTCTGTATATAAAACGTGTCTGAACTGGTTATATCCAATTTATCTTATATTTAACGAATTGTGTTTATTTGATTGATTATTAGTATTGCATATTAGTTATATATATATTTTTTTCTTTTTGATTATTTGAATTAATTCTTTGTATTAAGTACAATATAAATTTTTTAAACATAAATATACATTTTCTTATGATGAACAAGATATTAATAAAATAATTGTCTGAAATCAAATGGATGATAATAATGAGCAAAATATTAAGGAAAAAATATTTTTTAAATGTAAACATTCATTTTCTCAAGTTAAGTATGAATAATTCAAACACCAAGAACAAAATGTTCAATTTATACAGAGTTTGATTGTACCCCAACTCAAAACATTTGTGTTCGCCCTGATGACAAACGGCATCTATATAACTTACTGGCCAGGTCATGACTTCCATCGGCCAAATTTCCATCAGCGATATTAACATTTCCTGCCTAAATGGTGAAATTAAAAATGAAAAAAAAAATAAAAATGAAGTGATTACATTTGAAACAAAATTTCAAATTAAGTGATGAAGTTAAAGCAAATTATAGACTATTTATAGTAAAAAAATATTTTTAATGGATTATAGTAAAAAATATTTATATATTTGGAAATCCGTAAGGCTAGAAAAATTACAGATTTCTAATGAAATAACTAATTTAACGGTTTAAAACACAAGGGTTTAGCTGGAATATGAGACTATGCTTCATAGCCTCAGCTTTCGCTTTAGCAGCCCTCAATTTTGGCAATATGTTTCGGAAACCAAATGAGGAAAAACAAATCACAAACCATTTGCTTTCTAATTTTCAATCTCTACAACCATAAACGTCGGCGAAAATAGTCTTTTTCCGTATTTTCTTCGACAACATGGATCCTTTTTCACGATTCCTTTCGACCAGCAGCTACACGTACCACCATTCCCTCTAGCAATCAACCAAACCAGCCTTGTAGCTCAATTTTGATTCTTGCAATAAGGTAGAGAAGTAGAGAGAGACAGTTTCCGAGGTCTCCAAGAACAGTCGAATCCATATCCAATCGAAAAAGGACACAAATTGAAAACAACACGTTCTCCAAGTCTGAACGGGTTGAGTTTCTTCATTATTTTCTCAGCCATGGGAAGAAAAATTCCTATAGCCGAGAGCCCTTCAAATAATCATCATCTTATCTCATTTTCGTTGTTCATAGTATGCATTACTGCAACAATGGCTGTAATTTCAGTTCTCTGTGGTTCTCTATCGCGTAAGAAATCGCCTACCCCATCAGAAGTTGACAATGCAAAAACAAAAAATTCCCAGCTAGACATTTCATCAAACGGAAAAGATGCATCCCACAAATCCCCGGCTGAAGTTGAATCTTTAAAGGCGGAGGAAAAGCGGGACGATGAACACCAGCGGCCATTGCCACCACCACCTGCCATGCAACACATAGGGGCCGCCTCGTACCACCACAGATCAAATTCCACCGCCTCATCACATGGAAAGTTATCATCAAGCATGAGCATGAGAGTGCTAGGAAATGCGATTGCATCGCGGATGGAAGAGAGGAAAGAGAAGATATTAAAGCGTGAAGATTCAGTTTGGAAGAAAACAATAATTTTAGGAGAAAAATGTAGGGTTCCACAAGAAGATGATGACACAATTCTTCATGATGAAAAGGGAAATAGAATCTTAACTTATCATCCAAAAGCTCCATCCACTGTCCTCTCAATGTCCAGGCAAAATTCAGGAATTGATTCAGATGGAAACCATTTATAGATATTAACATTAATCTAATTTTGTACCTGTCGGGATGTCAAAGCAGCTTCACTACAGTTGCAAAGTTCTGAGACAGATATTGTTGGCATTATCCATTAGCAAGAATGGTAACTCAAATGCATAGAATTCTCAATCCACACTTCGACAATGCTCTAATTATTTGTCCAATATTGTTAAGGAATTCCAAAGTGAACTAGATTTTCCCTACTAATTAGATTGATAAACTAGCAATTGGGATGCATAGATTTTTTTCCTCCGTCTCTATCATCAAAATACTTGAAAGTGAACCACCTCAATTCACATTATAAATATCTAAAATCACCAGCATACACGGGTGAGATAAAAGGCAGACAAGTAATACGTGTACTCAAACCAGATTTCAAATTATAATAAAAGAGAAACCTGGGTTGTAATAATATACATCCCATAACTCGAGAAACCACGCCATATCAGTGAATGACAGAAGACCTTAGAGATTTAAATGAAACTAATATATATATATATATATATATATATATATTTATTTAACATCAATGATATGTTTGAAGGGTAATGGATGTCAATCAAGGAGACAAAGTCAAAAGTAAATGTCAATCAAGAAGAGTAATGGATGTCAATCAAGGAGACAAAGTCAAAAGTAAATGTCAATCAAAGAAATAAAGTTGATGCCAACTTTTCAAAAAAGAAGAAATTTTCCAAATGGACGGCATAATTTTTCATGTTGAGTTTTAGGTTACTCTGCCTAGTTAGGATTTAGATGAGCTTCTCAAGTACATTGTTTTTTATCTTCGTAATTCATTATAAAAGCGGACTCTAAACGACTAAATTTCTGCTTTGTATCTCAGCCAATTAGCCAAATTTGTTATAAATCCAACTGCTTCAAAAGAAATTGAGAATAGTTTTTTATTCACAATGATCTCTTTCTACCCTTTCACTTTTTTTAAGTTTCGAGAGAATATCAAGCAATTTAATTAGTGAAACTACTACGAAGTTGGGGATGAGAACGCAACTAAAGAAGTAGAGACCTTTGTTACTAACTTTCCACTTGATTAAGGAATTAAACATTGTAGAGAATAGTATTAAATATCAATTCAGTTTGCAGGAAATTCAATTTTGGGCTCATTCTTCCATATGCTTCACTGGTTTGGTGGTATTACAGTATTTATTTATATTTGGATTAAGTTTCAAAGACCTTTTATGAGTTTTAACAGCAATTAGAAGTATCATACAAAAGGCAGAATTTCTATTCTAATGCAAATGTTAGAAGCAAGTGAATGCATCTGCACTTTTATTTACTCATAGGTATCTAAAGCAACTTGTAAAAGCTAAGCTACTGCCAAATATTTACAAATCATACCTAATTTTTAATTGAACAGTTATTTTGACATATATATATATATATATATATATATTTATTTAACATCAATGATATGTTTGAAGGGTAATGGATGTCAATCAAGGAGACAAAGTCAAAAGTAAATGTCAATCAAGAAGAGTAATGGATGTCAATCAAGGAGACAAAGTCAAAAGTAAATGTCAATCAAGAAGAGTAATGGATGTCAATCAAGGAGACAAAGTCAAAAGTAAATGTCAATCAAGAAGAGTAATGGATGTCAATCAAGGAGACAAAGTCAA